ACAAAATCCTCGACATACTGACACAGCTGAAGGGTTTTCAGCCATTCATAAACGATGTTGGGTCCGCTGGTCATCATTTTGAACGGTGTTTAAACGTAAAGGTGCGTTTACCTTTGTGAGCAGTTGACTGACAGCGCGTGTGCCTGCGGTTTACGTGAATATCCCAGTCAAAATGCCATCTTCATTCAGCATTTCTCTCCACTTTTTGATAGCAGGGGATGTTTAGAAAATATCCACGAGCCCATAAATGTTAAACAGACGGTGCTGGACACTTCAGCGTTTATTAATCCTGACAATGTCGAGACCCTTCAACTTGGCATTGCCGTATACTCCACAACTACCGCCCCCCTTCACCGTGTTTAAAGAGCCATTCACCGGTAATGGTTAGCGTCTAAAGTGGCTATACTGATAACCATCCACAAAGACTACATTTTCCCCTCGTTTATTTCAACTGTTCGAGCAGTAGTGCCAACAAGAAACGTGATTACGCACCGCGTGAATTTCCAATGCTCTTCTCCAGCGCTCTCACGAGACCGTCCTTCCTTCCCTTGTGTCTGTCAGTACGGCTTAAGCCAACTCTTTTCCTCTCTGAAGACAAATGAAACCGCGTCTCTCCGGTTTGGAGACGAGCACATGTGGTTTCAGACTTCTTGCCACTATTTGCTGAGCAGCGTAATCGCGTTGGCGGCGAAAAAGATCGGTTTTCCTCAGCGAGGCGATGGTTGGTGAGCAGACACGGTTTGAATCTGGGCACGCGCTGTCAAAAGTGTCAGTTTGTCAGAGTTTGGGGTAATTGAAACCCTGGCATGGCGCTTCTTAAAAATCCGAAACTTTGTGACTTTTATTTTTGGCAAAGCCGAGGAAGGTAAATGTTGAGGTAACGGCAGGCTGCTGTCTGCTGCTCTGCTGCTGGAAGAGGATTTAAATCAGAAGCTCTGCTGCACGCGCTTTTCACTTTATGCTACAGTCTTATGGTGCCCCCTGCCTTAAAATTGGGCAAAATAGATATTTGGACTAGAAAAAAAGCCAATGTACACATCATATTAAGATTGTCAGTATTTTGCATGCTAAAAATAAAATTAGAAGAAAAACTTAAACGTAAAAACTGTAAACGAAAATTAAAAATGTTGTACAAACGGAAATAGGCTAAATAAGTTTAGGTAGAAAAACTAGAATTACTAAACTTAAATGTAAAGTTCAATAAAAATAAACAAAATGTAAAGTTAAATATAAATAACCTATTAAAAATGACAAAAGCACGTAACAAAAGTAGGCCTACTAAACTAAAATAACAATAAAAATAAGATATATTTTAAGCTAATTCAATAGCCTAAATATTATGTATATATAAATCATACTAAATTAGCGCCTGTTTTAATATGGTAGTTGGCAATTGGAGAAAACATTCATATTCATAATATTAAATTGAATTCAGGACACTGGACCTAGTCATTTCAATGGCAAAAAGTGTCCCAATCGACCTGAATTCACCCCAATATATCCATACAAATACAACATGCATACTATTATAATTATGTGCTCCTTCAAACTAAGAAATGTTTATACTCTAGGGGGTGATTTTTATTAAAAAGTTTTTCATTTTGTTGTTTCAAATTAGACCTGATTTTTTTTAACGCCTTCATCATTTAGTCCAGTCGTGCCTCAATGCAGTTTGATCAACATTTTTCCTTGTCTTACTACCCCTCCTTGTGGTCTTTAATAGTATAACAGCATCCTTTTCATATCTTCTCACTGCTTTGAGATACTATATCAATATTGATCATAGTACACCTCCATGATCAATAAGTGTGAGTTTAACAGAAGTGGGACAAATAAGTTCCCTTATGTTTCCCTTTATAAATCAGCAGAATGTAACAGTCATTAATAATTTAATTAATAAGAACATTAGTCAACAAAGAAAAAAGCAGTCACAATAGAAAATATATATATAAAAAGGGGAAAGAAAAAAGGTACAAGATGGGTATATAATTGTGACAATCATGTCATTTGCCTGACAACATTGTAGTGGGCGTGGTTAGGCAACATCCAACCAATCACAGCCAACACACTGGCAAATAAGTGTGCTCTTCCTAAAGGTCTTTATAAAGAATACAAATAAGATATTTAAATAAATAAATAAATATTTTGTTCCCACTTTACATGTTTAATAAAATGGGACAGTTTGACAAACTGTTCTGATCAAGAACCGATTTTAAGAACTAGAACCATGAGCCAGACAACAGGAAAGATTTTTAAATCGTTTTATTTTCCATTGCACAGTAATTTCTATCTACAGAAATTCTAAATTGTTTGTGGCAGCAGATAGTCATAAACATCCATGTGAAATTTGCATAAAACTGTACAAGAAATTGGCTACAATGAGAAAATACTGCAACCCACTGATAACCGTTATATTCAGGACAGAAAATGAATGAGGCTCTTCTGCATGTTAAAAGGGTTATATTTCAGGTAAGAATGTTCTGTCTGAGACAAATAAAACAATTCACTTAAAGTCAACATGAAACATTACAAAATGAATAAATTAAATTAAAGCCAAGAAAGCAACAATCATTTTTTCTCCTTAGTCATGAAAGATTACAACAGGCAAACAACCAGGTTCACATCAAGAGTGAGTCTGAAACCTCTCTGAAACAGACATGAAAGAACTGAAGTTGTGATCAATAAACCCTGCTGGAGTTAGAACACTTATTACTGACATTTACAGCATTACAGTTCAACATGGCTGATTGGATACTTTATCGATTGACAATGACAAAATAGCAACCTAGGACATCAAATATTTCCTGGAAATACATGAGCCAACATCTTGGAAAACAATTTTTGGTTTTGAATTGTATCCACCATGTCGGGGCCTAAAATGTATTTTCCAACACACATAATCAAATGGATGGCATTTTTATAATGAACCACACTTATATGCGATAATTTCAAGGAAAAGCTCACTCACTCGTGTTGAATTCAAAAATCACCCTGTTGTGTCAATGATGGCATGAACAAACAGACCACACAACAGAAAACAAAGATATGAAGACAAGTAACAGAGCGCAATGAGCTCAAAATACATCCTCCTCAAAGCATATATAAAAATAATTTTTTAATAATCAATGATTAAAAATATGACAAGGATATCTATTCAGGGCAATACAGTACTGCAGAGAAAAATACACATCGTACAAATATAATTTAATTAGTTAATCAGGAGAGATGACATACGAGCGAGATATTCAAAAACAAACCCGGTCTTCAGAAACACTATAACACCATGGCATGAAAACACATCTACAGAGAATATAGAGTCCAACACAGACAGAAACATTTAGAGTCTGAGAGAGATTGGCTTCGTTTTGTTTTGTAATTCTTTTTTCCCCCCATTTTTCTTAGTTTGAAGTACGGCAAACATACGAAAGGCAGACTAGCACACAGCCAAAAACATCAGAAAAGTCCTCAACACTGTTACTGGTGAAATATGCAGTGGTACTTCAGACACACACAGCTGTCGAACACAGTCAATGGAATACAGAACTCAATGAAAGAAAATCTTTGGCGTTTGAAAAGATATGGCAACTGTCTTAGGGTCAGTATGGCCTGGACCACTCGCAATTTATGCTCCCAGATTGTCGAACTACTTCTTTCATTCACAGAATGGCAAAAAAACTTTGGGCAGAGAGGCAAGTGAACATCGGTATCTGGAACAACAATGGATCATGTGATGAATGCAACATATATAGCAGCATTTCTTGCAAACCACAAATAAATATAATGGCACTAAAATGTGGTTTCAAGGGAGAAATGGGACAAGAAAGACATTTGCTGTACAATTTTTATTTTGTATTTAACGTTACTAAATTCTAGTTTTCTGGTTTGGAATGTACACCTAACACTCATTGTAGTTGTTTTCACAGATGGAGATGATCTTGAAGTACGTTCTGTGCCACTGCATTACACATGAAGCACCAGATAGAAACATGTTATCCTGACATTCAGAACTACAATGAATATTGTTTCCAAGTCAGTGAAAGCGTTCCGCCCTACTTCACGCTTATATTCAAGTCACCAAAGATTAGAGCTGGAAAACCGCTCCAAATTTCCAGGTATGAAAAGAGCCGTTTCCAAGAGTACAGTAAGTGCTTTTTATTTAACAAATGAAATGTGGACCAAAATATTGACTAAAGCACAATCTCTACATGTTCAACTGAAGCGTCTATATTAAATCTATGCATTATGCAGGAATGAGAAAGCTGGTCTAATGGACAAAATCAAATCCCAGAGTCAACGCCGAAGAGACTGTGATGTAATTTTCAGTCACAACAAATGTTCTAGCTGTTGAGGTCTATATGGCTGTCTACCCAACAAAACATGGATAACTTTAAACCTTAAATTTGCCTACTTTCTTTCACAACGCAGTCCAGACCAGATATTTTCTGTGCGGAGTTTCATAGAAAGTTTAAACATCTGTATAATGTATCACATGAAAATACCATCATTAAATCATTCATGGTTGGTTTATAAACAGTTATTTCACAATTCATTCATTTGCCACGTAGATCTGTCATTTAATTCTCTGGATCATGTCAACTTATTATAAACCCTCTAGATGGTACTTTAATGTAAAGCATTATTGTAGTGATATTCACAATAATTCTGTAAAAATATCACCCAAAAAGCATTGTATATTTAATTAGACATTTACAGTTGATTTTACAAATTATTTCTAGTTTTTTGCTAAATAAATAAAAATAAATAAATAAATAATCAAAGGGGCAATTTAGAAAAAAATGTACAGAAATATACTGAGTAATTTTTTGGAGAAGGGAGATGTTCTCTCTTCTTCTGAAAGGTTTGACTCCTTCATGTTATGACATCATTTCCTGTGAACGGAGCTCTTTCCGTGCTTCACCTGGTGTCTTCGTATTTCAGTTTTCCTTGACAGTCAATAGCGAATATGGCATTTTTACAGAGATTTATATAGAATTATGTATATGCAAAAAAAACAACAGCACAAAAACAATTCAAAGACTGAGAGAAGAAATGGAATTCCAGGGCTTGCAAAGCCCAGCCGCCATGAGAGGGGATTGGCGATATTAAACAAACAAACAAAAACGGAAGAGTGGACGCCATCGTGGTATGGTATTCCTCAGATTGGGGCCGCTCTCAGTCTGTGCCGCAGTTCTGTAAGCAGACTGTATTTAATATTGTGCTAGGAAAGAGCGAGGGATCCCACTGGTCCAGCAGAGGAGAGATAAAGATGGGAGTGGGAGAAGGATTATGGATGAACAAGGCTGTGTAGGAGAACTCCTGAGTCCCTTTGGGCTCTGCTGTTTTGCGGAGATCAGAACTGGTACCATTTTTTATCCTTACACTTTAGCATCATCTGCAACAGGGAGTAAAAAGAAGATCAAAGTTAGAGACGCCAGCTGCACTGCCACAATGATTACAATGCACATAAAATTAACTTATGTAATATAAATGTTTAGCTATTTTTATGAAGTGATTCATCTGTTATTGGCGTCAGCGGTGGTAACTCTGTACCTCATGAGCGTGTTTGGAGAATGTGTCAGCGCTGGCCATCATGGCTGCTGTCCGCTCTTCCACCTCGCTCAGTTTTTGCCCTCTCTCATCCAACGCTATCCGAGCTCGAGCAAGATCACCCACGATGCCTGACGCTGCCCCCTTCATGCCTTCTATACCCCCAGGACCTGGAATGTGCTGAGCGAGACTGCGTGGTGCTTTTCCGGCTCCTGACTCGCCGACTGAGTGTGAAAAGAAGAGGAGGAAAAAATGCTGCAAATGAGGTGACAGCACAACAGAGCACAAATGAGCTCTCTGTTACGACAACATAGTGAAGATGCCATTTTTGAGAACAGAACTTATTAAGATGGCAAAGAGGCACAGGAAGCACCTAGGTTAGATGTCACAGTTGTCACCAGTGTTATTTTTGCATTATATATATATATATATTAATGCTGTCAAACGATTAATCCAGAATAAAAGTTTTTGTTTACGTAACATATGTGAGTGTACTCTTTATATTTATTATTTATACAGTATATAAATACACACACATGCATGCATATATTTAAGAAAAATATGTTATGTTTATATATTAAATATATTTATATATGAATTATATGAATATAAATATATACATGTAAATATTTTCAAAATATATACTGCATGTGTATTTATATATACATAATACACACATATATTATGTGAACAAAAACTTTTATTTTGGATGCGATTATATATATATATTTTTTTTTTTTCTTTTTTCTTTTTTCATTTTTAGTTATGTGCTTGTGTATTTTGTTATGTGCTTTTGTCATATTTATTACATTTAAGAAAAAAAAAGTTAACACTTTACTTAAAGCCTTTATGTATAATGCATTATAAAAGTAGTTTTAATGCATTAATTATGCCTTGTAATGCACCTTATAATGCACTGTACAATCTCAATTCGTTACACGATGCATTTTAAATCCACTTATAATTATTTAATTGTAATAGTTGTTGGGTAAACAACTGAAACACCATGCACAATAAAATACACTGGCGTACATGCCAGTTATTTTATATTCTTTTTTCATGAATCTCAGGTTGCCAGTGTGTTTTACATGCTGTAGTTTTGTATAATGTATTAATGATAACAATTTAACAATGATAATAGCAACAATTTGGGCTTTTCAATGGCAACATCTATTGTGACTGGGAAATGAACCTACCCTGAAAAATATATTTACTGAAGTAAAAAGTGTGACAACTAGCTCCAGACTCCCCACATCTAAATAGTAATCTTTCTGTTTGTGGTCTACATTCCTACTGTACCATTCTTGCTGTGATACTTTAGGCATCTAAGGGTAAAGAGCAGATAATGAAAAAGAACTCACAGAGCTCTTCTCTGTCTAGAGACTGTGCTCCTCCTCCGAACAGACCCTTAAAGAATCCCCTGTTAGGAGCTTCAGGCGTCTCCACCGGAGTAAACAGCTCACCTAGCATCTCCTGTTACACAATTAAATCATCATCTTCATCTTCAACATTGTCGTAAATACTGTGCAACAGAAGAGTCTAGAAGAACAGTTCTGCTCACCTGTAAGTTCTCGCAGACCTCCTGGCTGTAGGTGATCCTCTGGATCTCAGTAGGGGAAGTCAGATACAAGGCCTGGCCGAGGTTGGTGAAGCAGAACGTTCTCGCTATCCGCATATCTGTCAGGGGTAGGTAATTTACATCCAGCAGTGGTCTCAACCCTGGCAGACTGAAACAGCATGACACAGTGAGACATTTCTTCAGCTCTGGGATTTCTCACCTCCTCTATTATTCAAGAGCTGCAATGCGGAGGCTGTGGCAGTGCTGATTTTGTCCTTCAAAATGTGCCTTTAAATTACAGGAAACAAACATTAAGGATATTTGTAGATGATATCTGCAGTAATACCCCCAAGGTCTTCATGTTTGATGGTTAACTTTGACCTTCCTACTGACAAACACACAGATGTTTGTCTGCCTTTCTGTCCTCTGAAGATTTATAAGCCAAAGCAATTCGGAGAGCAATACAGTGATTAGATCTGTGTTGCAATAGCAACAGGCCCCCTGGCTCTGTCTTTGCTGAACAGTGGAGCAAGATGACAATATTGTATACTAAAAATAGCCTTATTTCCAAATTTACTGTGTGTTAGAGTATATCAATATCAGGCTACAAACAATTCCTCACATCACTGAAACAATCACCAGGCAGTCTGCAAATAAACAAAGCTTTAAAGGCTGACTGAGCTGGAGTCTTGAAAAGTTTAGCATCAATAGACTGTATAGGTTATTTATTTAATATAAATTCTTTACACATGTTAAAAATGACATTACAGTTGCCGGCCATTTTTTGAAAATATATTAAGGGCCAGTTTTACTAACAGCTTGCGCCAGCGCAAACCGTCTTTTGGCGTTAAAATTGTACTGTCAGGCATTGTTGCCAAATCCGCGTTTGCCGCCAGTTGTTTTTTATGTCTGCAGGTTGAAGCGACCCCAATAACGTGATATTTAGGCCCTGGAATGTGAATTGTACCAGGAGAACCCCGCCAAAAAATGTGTATTTTACCCCCCGAACGCGATTTTTACTGGGGGACCCCCTTGCTATTTTCAGGATAGTTTTGAGTAGTACTTGGGTGGGTTTTGTAGCGAAAACCTGGCAACCCTGCTGTCAGGTTTTACTAAAGACGCGCAGTGACGAATTAGCGCTGAAAAGGCGTGGACACGCCTGACCTTATTGAATATGCATTTTAGGAGTTTCCCTTTCAGAGGCAAAAGTTATGGGAGGAGAGTATTCAAATTAATCACGCAACGCGCTTTACTAACATTTGCGCTCGTCAAATTACTGGCATTTGCGCCATTATTTAACGCCCCAAAAAAGCATGTGTTAAACTATTTTGCGCTTGAAATGGCTGCAATTATTGTTGCTAGGAGGAGGCACCGCAGAAAACAGAGAGCGTGTGGTAGAAGGGAGAGGATTTTTTCCACACGTATAATTTATTTTGAATGCCAGAAGAACACATTATCTGAACATATCGTTTGCCAAGTCATGATATTTTTAATTTGCTTCAGAAAATAAAAGATGACTTGGGGCCCTCAACTAGGAGTCGCGCAATACCAGGTCTATCAAAACTTATAGCAAACCTTCATTTTTGGCCTCCGGTTCTTTTCAACGTACTGTGGCTTCTTTATTTCTTTATTCTTTATTTTCGACTACGTTAATTTGTGCTGCACTTGGTATATTGCGCTGGTTGATATGTAAATGAGATGTTGCGTACGTGTTCTTTAATTTGCGCATTGTTAGTAAATCACCCGCAGAAATTTCCCATCCCATCGGCGCGGTTTTGGAATTGTGCTCTCGTGCCCTGTTTAATAAAACTGGCCCTACGTTTTGTTCAGCACGGATGCATTAATCAAAAAAGGTAGTAAAAATTTTTTTATTCATACATAAGATTTCTAATGCTAGTTTCCACAAAAATATTCAACTGTTTTCAACACTGATAATTATAAGAAATGTCTTGAGCTCCAAATAAGCATATTAGAATGACTTCTGAAGGATCATGTGACACTGAAGGCTGGAGTAATGGCTCCTGAAAATTCAGCTTTGCCATCACTAGACTCAATTACATTTTAAAATATATTAGAATAGAAAAGCTATTTTAAATTGTAATAATATTTTAAAACTTTACTGATTTTACTGTAACTAAAAAAAATGCAGCTGATTGAGCATTAAGTGACATCTTTCAAAAACATAAAAAATAATACCAGCCCCAAACTGTTGAAAGGCAGTGTATGTAGGATATTTTTTAATATAAAGTGAAAAAGTTTCACATGCTTAATCATGCTGCTTGCTAAAGTTTTATCGAAGTGTTAAAAGTGTCATAGATTTTTATGTATTTACACATCCCAACACACAGTCCCAAATGAAAGCACTTAAATCAACCCTCATCTGGCTTATGTTAAGGACATCTTCTCTCACCTGAGGGTCATGATGTGTCCATTGGCACAGAAGCAGGCCACACAAATGCCAGTGTTCATCTGAACCACATCTGCCCGCAGCACAAAAGATGTTTCGGTGATGTTGTGTTTAAATACACAGGTCTGAGAGGGCAGGGCTATGACTTTGGCCTGTTTCTCAGAGCACAGCACAGCATATTGGTTTTCATTCAGTTCCTGGGATGTGGATGGGGAGACAGATACCGGCTGTCCCTTACGGACCTTGTCCCGCTCCTCTCCGTTGGCCGGGGCATTGGGTTCGTACCATGGCTCAAAAGCAGAAGGGAGGAGAGACCCTGTAGAATCTAGGAAAGCCATCCGGAGAATGCTGCCCTTCAACCTGACAAGAGTACCTGTACAGAGAGGGTTGAGATGTCAGAGTCAAACAAACCAAACTTCAAATTAAGGGAATAGTTGATCCAAAAATGAAAATTTGCTGAAAATGTCATCCAAGATGTAGATGACTTTGTTTCTTCATCAGAACAGATTTAGAGAAATTTAGCATTACATCTCTTTCTCACCAATGAATCCTCTGCAGTGAATGGGTGCCGTCAGAATGAGAGTTCAAACAGATGATAAAACCATCACAATAATCCACAAGTCCATAATTAAAGTGCTTTCAATTTAAACCTTTGCTTCTGGCCAAAATATGAGTCCATAAACCATAACGCTTCCTCCAGAGAAAAGGTCATCTCATCTGAATCAGGAGAGAAATATCCACAGATCAAGAAGTGAAAACAGTTGTACACAAATAAGTCAATTGATTTTTATGTGAGAAGACAACAGAGGATGGACTTTTTTTTACATTATTTTAGAATTATGGACTTGAATTTTGGCCAGAAATGACGGTTAATTTATTACAAATACACAGCTTTTTGCTTTACAATACGTTAATTGATGGACTTGAGTTGTGTGATTACTTGTAGATTATTGTGAGGTTTTTATTAGCTGTTTGGAATCTCATTCTGATGGCACCCATTCACTGCAGAGCATCCATTGGTGAGCAAGTGATGTAATGCTAAATTTCTCCAAACCTGTTTCGATGAAGGAACAAACTCATCTACACATTTTGCTCAGGCTGAGTACATTTTCAGTAATTTTTCTTTTATGGGTGAACTATTCCTTTAAACCTCTAATGTGCTAACTTACCACAAGGGGAGACAATGACTGGTTGCAGAAGCCTCTGCTCTCCAGCAGGGGGCATGTTGAGGGAGATTGCCAAGACTGTGCCCAAGGACGTGCCAACCCACAGACTAGGTGTAAGTCCGCCATCTGCTTTACGGTTGTACGTCTCACAGAAATAGAAAGATGTGACGGCCTCTCGTGCTTCCTTGTCAATACTGGTCACACTGGAGCTCCGTGAGCGGCTGAAGGAGTTGTCCCTGTTGTCTAGGGGTATGGAACCCCGCGGGGGACATAAAGAGAGTAGGACAGTAGAGAGAAAAACACAAAAAGGTAAAGCCCCCACTCTGAGATGACAACCAACAGATTCACAGATTACTTTTTCCATATCAGCCTCTTCGTCTTGAGCAGAATTAAGATCTATATAAATGTTCTGCCTTTGTGATTGTGGTTTATGCACAAGTTAAAATACACAATATCCTTCAGTGGTGAGAAAATGACCTTTGATGTGGGAAATGAGGCAGTCTCTCCAGTGTGATGGAGATAAATGGTATTCCCAAGATTGGTTTGACCAGATGCCCTATTTTCCTGGAACACTTACATATTTTAGACCTTTTTACCCGACCTCATTTATTTGAAACTTGGCCATACTAGACCATCTTCTAAAATAAATCTGCATCTGGACATGTTAAAGGGGTCTGAAAATTGGACTATTCTGGGAAAAACTCCACATCCTATAGCTCATCCGATAGGTCATCCTATCCAAGATGCGTACAGTCTAGAAATTAAAAAACAAATAAATAAAAATAATGGAAGAATGTGACAATGACATTTTTTTTAGTTTCCATTATTACGACATAATATCTTCCTCATTTAAAACCTACACTACTGTTCAAAATTTCCAGATTTTCTAATGTTTTGGGTGAAAAAAGTGTCTTAAGTTCAACAAGGCTCCATTGATTTGATCAAAAATATTGCAAAATCAGTTCTATTGTGAAATACTGTTACAATTTAAAATATATGTTTTCTATTTTAATTATTTTAAATTTAATTTATTTCTGTGAAGGCAAAGCTGAATTTTCAGCAGCTATTACGCCAGTCTTCAATGAGTTGCTGTCCAATTTTGAATTTGCCTGTTTTAACCCTCTGGGGTCGACAAACGTGACGGCGCGTTTCATTGCATTTCTTTTGAAAGCCCCTAAAGGAACTTAAATTACGATTTGATCGTACAGATAAGAGCAATAACATCAATCGAATCTGTAAAGTGTCTACTTTTATTTGTATACACATATAATAACAACAAAACTTTGTGCTTTTGTAAAATAAAGAAAACATACAGGGTGCGCTGTCTGCCGCCTTTGTCTCCGTGATCTTCATTTAGAAATGTGTCACTAAAATGAACTGAAACTCAGCGAATACTCGACACAAAGACATGAGAGATATATCTATAGAACGCTTGACATGTCTACTTTTAAACGACACAAGTCTTATCGAAAACAAATTTTCTGTGATAAAGTAATCCATATGAAACCAACGTGATGTCCAGCCTTTCCCGTCTGGCTTCATTATCTCTAAATCACGCCCATGCGCTTCTTTCGCTTTTGATATTACAATCGTCCACGTACATAGAATAAAACTTCCATAAAGAGGCACTTAAGGATAATTACATTTGAAAAGAGACATGGTCGTTGTATAATCGTATCGTCTACACAAACCATGTTGTGCTTGGACCCCAATTATGGTTAGATTTCTTAATATTATCAATGCTGAAGAAAGTTGTGCTGCTTAATATTTTTGTGAAAACTATCATTATAAATGTCATTTTTGATCAATTAAATGCATCCTTGAAACATTTTTTAAAAGAAAATAAATTAATGATCCCAAACATTTGAACAATTGTATACATTTAAAGTTTCCTTATTCAAAACAATTAACTGATATCCTGTAGAAGTTTATATATGGCAATGATATGTGAGGGGAAAATGATCTTTACATCAAACTGCTCATCTGATTTCCATTTCAAATCAGTGAAATTCCAGAAAAGTACTCCTTGAGGGAACTCCCTTAAAAACAGTCCTGCTGGAAAGTAATGACCGAACTGAATCTGATATTGAATTAAATACCAGCAAATGCTGAACTGGCAAATGCTGACTTGTGTTATTCAGAATAAGAGTTAGGAAGACTGACAGAGGACCATGACTACATGAAAGTGATGCAGTGGTTTTGGCCATGCTTACATGTACCATTTATGGAAACACTCACAAGCCTTTTGATAGACCAATACAGTCATGACCCATATGTATGTCAGACCCACGAATCAATACAAAAGAAAATCAGCTTCAGATTGACCTTTTCTGATAAACTGTATTTCATAACTCATGTTTCAATCTCAGAAACTCAGTATAAACTCTGAAAGCCACCATAGTCTTGGGCTAACTGACATGAGATGTTCAAAGCTAATGAGCATGTGGACCCTCCAGTTTCTGATAATGTGCTGATGGACTCCACATTCAAAAGCTGTGTAGCATGAACACAAAGTCAAGGCTTACCCAAGTCTGGCTTTAGCTCAGTAGGCAAGCTTAATTTCCGTGACATCTTAGCTGGAAAAAAGAGAACACCTCTCTTTACAAACACATTGAAGCCTCAGTAAAAGCCATGCAATGCTTGAACTAGTTGTGCTGGAGAAAACACCAAGACAACATAGCTAAAGGGTTTTTTTAATCATCCTGAGGGACACAAATGCTTCAAACAGGACAAAGGAGACACTGCAATATTTTTCAGCGAGTCAGAGACAAACTGCATAATGCTGCATGCTGGACAAACAGTACTGGGATGTAAATGGGTGTAATTTGGCCACACAAAGCCCTGAAAGGAAAAGAATTAACATCAGAACAGAGAAAACAATCATTCTCAGCACCCCATGCCACAAGCATGCACCACACAGGAGAATACAAATTAGACATTATGGCTTATATGGATGAGTTTGAACATTTAGTATAATATATATACCCTTGCCGCATAGGCATATGTTGACTTATCTATTATCTTTCATAAATAAATAAATAGCTGGCAGATGAACATGTGACCTTGTTTTGTCAGCAAAAATATCTAAACATTCTTAAAACAAGATAAATTTACTTGAGAAACAAAATGGAATAAGATAATTTTGTTTTTATTTTAATACTATTTTCCAATGTTCATTACAGTTTTAGATGTATTTTTATTTGATTTTTTTTTTACAATGTTTATGTTCATTGATTAACTGAATGTTAATTAAACTAAATGGTATATTTAATGATAGCACTATATAGATTTTATTACTTTTGTTTGATATACTCTTAAAATAAGTCTTAATATCTTAGACAGTTTTGCTTCTCAAATAAATGCATTTATTTCCTTTAAAGAGGTTAAGATATTTTAAGTAGACAACATAATGATTTAAAGTGTTTTTTTTGTTGTTGTTTTTTTTTGCAGTGTAATGAGCTCAACAGTCATCAAAAAAAAATCATTAAAAAAGCAACAAAACAAAAACAGCCTTCACAGCTTGTCTATATAAGAACAGCTAAAGAAAACTAAATGGTCAATTACCCAAAACTATATGTTTTGTTTCCTAATAGTACTCCACAAAAGCATATATAAGTGAATTCAACTGCTGGTTGCAATCCATCTAAATAAATGTGTATTGTTCAAAATCCTGTGCGGAGATGTACGGACATAAAGAGACGGGAAGTACAGGAAGACAACAAACCGAAAACCTTCATTCCTACAGACAGACAATTATAGGACGCAGTCACGCAGCCACCGGTGTGGCAAAAGAGAAACGCCTCAAGCAAATCACCACAAGCACATTTCACCATGTTACATGCGTGCTACATGAACGTAGCATGCAGTGGGAATTTCCATTAGGGTTATTCAAGTGACTATTTCTGAGGACAGCTGCTTCCTCTGTTTTGTTCATACATAGAGACAGAGACAGTGTGGCCGAACAAAACCAGTGGAACCTCTTCTACACCGTCATCCAACCTTACCTCCTCTCCCTCCTCCATTGTAGAATTGCTGATGGTTTGACATCAAGACTTTTTGGGAGGAAGTAAAGCATATGAGCAGTTAGAGATATTTTACGCTTTTTGGGAGCAACATACAGCGCAGGAGAGCCATAACATGAAAATTATGTATCGACCCAGGTTGTTTTGTTTGTTATGCGTTTGGTTTGGCTTTCTGTGGCAGTTGCAATCATTTGTTCTGTATCTGCCCATGTCGAGGTGTTACAGCTAGTGTAGGCTGCTATTTGCACAATAATTACAGAGACCTTCTTTCAATATTTGATCAAACCACTTGCTGAGAGAACAGCTGCAGAGGTCTGTGCTCTAACTGAAGGTTAAGTCATTTTGGAAATACATTCTCATTCTGCTCTGACCTTTCGGAGCAAATCTTATCTCTATTTTGAGATCTGCCCCGGTCTCCGAGTGTGAATGTCATGCTCTTTCTAGGAGTTTTTTAAGTTGTATTCGGCTTATCACGCCACCTTCAGCTGCGCTAAATGAACTAAAGAAAGAGAATGCAAATGCTTTAAGATTACCTTGTCCTATCTGTGTTTTAACCTTGAATATTTTTGCATTTTATATTTGCATTCTACACAATTCTATACAAAAACAATGCAAATTTGAATAATGATGGCTAAATAATGTTATTTTTTCCCACCCCAGAGGAAGACGTGATATTATAGCAAAGGTTAAGAATCTT